CCACACAGTGTTTTCAGTACATGCAGAGTTTTTATCTACCTTTATCTAGTTCCAGAACATTCCATCACCCCAAAATGAAACTCCTTCACCATTAGCATCTCCTCCCTATCACCTCCCCCAAACCCTGGCACCCACTAACCCACTTCCTGCCTGTGGATTTGCCTTATTCTGGAACATTCCACATAAATGGAATCACACACTACATGGCCTTTTGTGTCTGACTTCTCTCACTGAGCATTGTGTTTTCAAGGTCCATCCACATTATAGTATGTGTCACTACTTCACTCCTTTTCTTTTTAGTGTGTGGATGGGCTACATTGTGTTTACTGTATTAACCCATTATACTGATGGAGAGCAAAAAGAAGATATATAATTGGGGACTCCAGGAACAGAGCATGCTGTTTTTAAAAAATTTATCTTTATTGTTGAAAGTATTACAGATGTGTCCCCCCCATTGACTCCCTCCACCCCACAGTGTTTATCCACTTACCCATTGATGGGCACTTGGTTGTTTCTACCTTTTGGCTATTGTATATCATGCTGCTGTGGACATATGTGTACAGGTGTTGGTGTGAACATATGTTTTCATTTCTTTCATGTATATACCTAGGAGTAGAATTCCTGGGCCTATGATTATTCTATGATTAGTTTTTTGAAGAACTTCCAGACTGTTTTCTACAGCACCTGCCCCATTTTATATTCCCATCCACAGTTACTCCATATTCAGTTACTCCATATTCTCACCAGCACTTGTGATTGTCATTTTGATTGTAGCCATTTTAGTGGGTAAAGCACATGCTCTGCTCTGTTCCTGGAGTCCCCAATTATATATCTTTAGTGGGTAAAGCACATGCATGCTCTGTTCCTAGAGTCCCCAATTATATATCTTCTTTTTGCTCTCCATCAGCAGTATAATGGGTTAATACATTGCAGCAAATGCACACAAGGGAATACTAAGCAGCCATGAAAAGTAATAACCTCCTGAAACACACAGCATAGATGAATCTCAGGTATCATGTTGAGTAGAAGCAGCCAGACACAAAAGAGATCCATTTCTGTGACATTCTAAAACAGGATTACCAATATATGGTGTGAGGCATAAGGATGGGGGTGTCACTCGCGGGGGCAGTGACAGGGTGGGACATAAAGGGATTTTGGCAGCTAGATGTTTGATTTGTGAAAGTGAATTGAGCTGTATTCTTGATGTGTGTGCTGCTTACATTACACCTCAAAAATGCATACATGTAATGTTTTTATGTAAGTGGATATTTGAGAGTGAGTCACAGGGACGGTGCCACTTCCCCTCTAAGCATATCAGATGTGTCTCCTAAAGGCACGGTCCTTCACCATAACCAAGCTGCAATCTAATCCACCATTCATGCTCAAATGTCTCCTAGTGTCCCCCCCATAGTGTTCTTGAGTAGCTTTTTTTCTGATCCCCAACCATGAAGCATGTTCAGTTCTCCCTGCTGAATTACAGCCCCCAAAGGTATGTCCACATTCTAATCCCTGGAACTTGTGAATTTTACCTTTTTTTCAAAGAGTCTTGGTAGATGCAATTAAGTTAAGATTTTCAAATGAGAAGATCAGCCTAGTGGGCCCTAATGAAATCACAAGTATCCTTATGAGAGAGAGAGAGGTTTAACAGACACTCAGGGAGAAGACATGTGACAACAGAGGCAGAGACTAGAGGGGCGCGGCCACAAACCCAGGGACCACAAGCTCCCAGAAGTTGGAAGAGGCAGGAAGTACCCTCCCCTGGAGCCTTTGGAAGGAGCATAGCTCTGTCCACACCTTGAGTTTGTATTTCTGGCCTCCAGAACTGGGAGACAATAATTCTGTTGTTTAAGTTACCAAGTTTGTGATAATTTGTTACAGCAGCCCCAGGAATTGGATACCATCTCTTTCCATCTAGAGATCCCCACCTTTCCTTGGCTTTCTCAACAAGGATACTTCTGAAGTCTCACAGAGTGACCTACAACCCAAGTTCATCTGAATGTCTCCTGGTTCTATTTGGACAACATGTTTTGGGTGAGAACCTGACATACACGAACAGGTTCTAAAACATGGTATTGCCCAAACTCCAACCTCTTGACACTGTATTCCCCATTTAATTACATTTACTTCCACCTACCTTGTGTCTTATTAATGTTTTGTTTGCTTAAGTTTTACAAGGAAACTTGATATCACTGTTAGGAGTGGAAAGCTAGTGACATACATTGACACATTGACCTTAAGTAGAGATACAAGGAGAAGAACAGGTGACAAATTTTCAGGTCAATAGGATCACAACCAGGAAGCTGAGATAGGAGTTAAGTATAGGTGGGCACCAAGTGAGATTTCCCATGTTTTAGGGGAACTGAAAGAAGAATAGCTTTTTCCCCTCTAAAATCCAGGAATTCAGGTCTTGGGGAAATACTGGCTTAGGGCATCTGATGTTCCACAGAATAGAAGAAAAACAGGCATAAGGGAAGATAAAAGAATTCAGGAGTCTTGGCTTCCAACTGAGGTTCCTGGCTCAGCCAGACTTTTGGTGTGTAAGGGGGTGTCTCTAGGTCTTAGGTCACCAGGCCCAGCTGATTCAGCTACCACACCTCCTGAGCCAGAAAGGCAACCCCAGATTTGAGTCCAGTCTGAAGTCAGTGCCCCTCAGGGCATCTTGGGGTGCACTGGGACAGGTTTGGGAGGATGCTGCCGTCTGTTGAAGACATTCCCAGCAGTTGACATCACTGTGCCTCAATAGTGCACATGCCCATGTGTGCAGTTGCATCTGGAATGTGCTGTCAAGAGGCTTCTAGGCCCAGGAGTCTGGCACTTCCAGAGCACAGTTTTTACCTCCACTCTGAGCTAGTGGGGAAATGGAAGTATGAGCACAAGGGGACTGGTGATAGTTTGAGCTGAGGTCCCTAGGCCCATTATGGTCAGGCTCCTGAGCACCCCTCCAGTGTCATTTCTGCTTCCTTTCCCCAACCCCCATTCTGATTGAGTTTCCCTAACTATCCATGCTTTTTCCAGTGTCAGGGCCTTTACTCTTGCTATGAACTCTTCCTGTAACACAGTTACCCCAGATATTCTTTCTCTTTCTTTCTTTCTTTCTTTCTTTCTTTCTTTCTTTCTTTCTTTCTTTCTTTCTTTCTTTCTTTCTTTTTTCTTTCTTTCTTTCTTTCTTT